GAATATGAAATATAACTTTGACACACCCCCATAGCCTGAGTGAGATGCATCGAAACGACCAAGACAAGCAAATGGTCACAAGACTAGTCAAGAGAAAAAACAAAGCAAAGCTCAGGGTGGATCTCAAGGACACCACACGCTCCGAGCACAAGCAAACGGCCAAAGGCCAGTTCCCATGCAGTGTTATAAATGCACAAGCAGTACAGTGATCACAACCTAGCAAGAGCAAGCATGCAGATATATATGCATATAAATAATACACGAAAACGAGTGCCCTCTCGGGAACTCGCTCTCGCCCACTGCATTGATGCGTCCGTTAATTCGGCCAGCTAAACAGCATTATTAAAATCACGCGATTGCGTGCGTCGCACCTCGTACTGCATGTCATACTTGAGGCATGCGACATAACAGACTAGTCGCTCTGCAATCGCTCATGTCGTCCACTTGGACATCCAAATTGCAGACCGTAGCTGCGCAGTCTTGGACCGAAGTCAGTTGCTTCCAGGCACGCAGCTTCATGCGGGTAGAATTTGAGGCGGATACATGCTCGAATCTTTTCCGCAAGGCAGCTCCCCACTCCTTCCATGTTCGTATCGTGGCCATTCCGAAAATCGATGCTCTCTTTGCGTGACAGGTGTTGAAGCCCCGTAGTTCGCACGTGTCGTCCCTGCCAAAGTCTCGTCGGATTGCAGCTTGCGTCGCCACCACTCTAGCGCAGGCCCGCGCAACAATGATACTACGACAAAACCGAAGCACGCTTGGTGGTCCACGTATTCAAACAACGCCACGGCGTCGACTACGATCAAACGTTCGCACCTGTCTGTCAGAATGTTATTATCTAGCCTGTAGTGGGGTGCTCTATAGCGGGTACAACCCAGTTAGGGTTTGCTATATGTATCCCAACTACTGCTAGTGAAACGCCCTCCTTTCTTCAATTCTGTTTCTGCCTGCTAGTTCTGACATGGTTTCAGAGCAGGTCGACCCCATTGGGTCGATCCTGTGGGTGGGCCCACCACCTAACTGCTTCCGCTGCTGTTCAGCTTCTCGCGCGCCTCGGGCGTGCGCCATCTTCTTCCTGCCGGGTTTTTCATCCCGCCGTGCGCTCGGGGCGCGCGGCGAGTTTCTGCCCGCCGTGCGCCCCGAGGCGCGCGGCGGTTTCCTACCGTTGGGGACCCGCGCGCGCCCCCGCCCTGTCCGTCGCGTCGCCCTGGGGGACCCGCGCGCTGCCCCCGCTGCCCCGTCGGTGGTCGCATCGCCCCGCCACCCCGTTGCGCCGCCCTGGGGAGCCGCGCGCGACCCCCCGCTGCCCCGTCGACGGTCGCGTCGACCCGCTGGACCCGCGCGCGGCATCCCGTCGACCCTCGCGTCGCCCCCGGGGACCCGCGAGCCGCCCCTGGAGCCGTGCGCGACCCCCCCGCTGCCCCGTCGCGGCGCCCTGGGGGGCCGCGCGCGGCCCCTCGCTGCCCCATGGTGGCGCCCTGGGGGCCGCGCGCCTTCCCCCGCGCTCCTACCCCGTGCCACCCGTTTTAGGGTTTGGGGGTGGGGAGTGTGGGGGTGGCGGTTGTGGGGGTGCCAGTTGTGTGCCCCGTCCCCTACTCCTCCTCCTCCTCCGTCTCCCGTTGCTGCAGCTGCCGCTCAGGGGGGTGGGTGTGTGGGAGCCGAAGGAGTGGTGCTAGGGGGGTGACGTGGGAGTGGAGTTAGGGGTTCAGCAGGGGGTGTGTGTCAAGGGTGTGGGTCAGTTGAAGGAGGTTGTGTGGAGGTAGCTGTCGTGTCGCCTGCAGCGCCTGTAGTCCGTCGCCCTTGCAGCCAGTGAGCCTGTTGCACCAGTCGCCAGTGGGTCCGTTGCTCCTGCCGCTCGTCTTAGCCGCGGAGCCAGTCACTCCAGTAGTCCGTCGCCCTTGCTTCGGTAGCCACTGAGTCAGCCGCTCCTGTGCCCGTGCCTCTGCAGCTTCAGTCGTTGCCTCCCATCTTCTCTCCTTCCACAGTTCCTCCTCCTCCTCACTTGCCCGCTGTGATTACCTCTAGCTTTGCTTATTATTGTGAACTCCTGCTATGCTTGCTCATTGTGCTGATTACACCCCACTTTGGCTATGGGGGTGTGTCAGAATGTTATTATCTAGCCTGTAGTGGGGTGCTCTATAGCGGGTACAACCCAGTTAGGGTTTGCTATATGTATCCCAACTACTGCTAGTGAAACGCCCTCCTTTCTTCAATTCTGTTTCTGCCTGCTAGTTCTGACACTGTCAGCCGCCACACTTCCAATTCGAATTCTGCTCTAAATCACCTCCGCCAAGCATCTAGGCCTTCAAAAATGTATTCCTCTACACAAACATTGACGCCATTATCCACGTCATGCTGCCTCATGCCTTCGAAAAAGACGCATCCAAGGTTCGCCTACTCCAAAAAAACACTCTACAGCATCAAGCAGTTCCCCCTCACTCCCCCCCCCCCCCCCCAAATGAGAGCAGTATATGCGCAACGTACTCATCTCGCTCGGCTTCAAGCAATTCCTCACGACCAAGGCATGTATCGCCTCAAGTCTCGCGGCCACTTCATCCTACTTTTTGCCTATGTTGACGCCTTGCACTATTTCAGAAGCGGCGTGGAGCTCCTCAATCGCTTCTCGACATTCAATATGCCAACACCATACACCTCTACACCAATTGAATACACCAAGAAACTCGCGAAGAGATTCGCCATCGCCCTCATCAACCTCCCCACTCCATTTCACATTCCTCCTCTAGAAGTCACTCTTAACACCACTCCGCCCTCTGCCATGGATCATCAGCTTTACCAGCAGCAGCTTGGGTGCCTACTGTTTACCAGCCAGGTCGCCTAGTACCTGAAACGACACGAAGGGGAGAATCTGACGGAACTACGTCGCTACAATACTCCATCTCTACACCTGACGTCGGGCTAATTACACGGCAAACCTAATTGCTGCTCTTTAGCTAAAAGGCTATGTCGATGCCGATCAAGCTTCAGACCTTGACAACAGAGGCTTTGTTTTGGATTCATCTTCAAACTCAGGACTGCTAAACGCATGTCCTAGAATTCAAAGAAGCAGGAACTCATTGCCCTTACGTGAACCAGAGCCAAATTCATCGCCGCCAATTCAGTAGTTCACAAAGGACTCTACCTAATGGAACTTCTCCACTTCGTCAATCGCAAGATGGACAGCTCGCTCCGTTGCTTCTTCGTAAATGACGAGATTGGCAAAAGCAAGATCGACCTCACCAAATGTCCTACTACCGACATGGCAGCCGACTTCCCGACTGCCACGTCAGAAGTTTCGGCACTGCGCCGAACTGTGCGAGGTCGTCAAGAAGTCCCACGTGCCATACCTTCACAAATGAAGGGAGTGTTGGAATACTCGAAAGGTATCGCAATGGCTCACTACATCATAAGGAAGGTGCGTTCTAACTACTATCGCGTTACATTCATATACAGCGTGCGATAGTAGAGTTGACTTCCGACTGTTGACTTTCAATCTCCTTCTACTAGCGTGTAACGTACGGTCTTGGTCAGTCATCAGTCGGTACGGTTGTCTGCTGTAAGGAAAATCCCCTTCCTTACTTTGCAACCGTGCTTGCCGCATACACAACTGTTCCCGCCAACAGCATGTCACAATACAGACTTATTCTAGGAACCGGGTTTAAAGGGGGCCTAGGCTTAGAAGCCAAGGCCAAGCGGGTGAAGAGCGTGGCGAGAGCAAGGGTCGAGGGGATTTGACCAAACAAGTGAGTTTCACTATAGTTCGGCAAGTACAAATATGCAAGACAAGCATGCAAGAAGGTGCATCACCAAGAGCAAGGTAACATAACTACAGTTAAGGTAAAGCTACAGGCAGTTATACATATAGATATAATATATATCGCCACACATCACCCTACAGTAAAACGTAACCACTCGGGACACTCGCCTCGACCACTGTTCCCGCCACCATTCACATCGCGACCCTACCTCACGGTTCGGTTGGTAACCCGCGCTCTGGTCCTCAACCTCGACACTTCCCAACCTCTGCACATGCCCGTCGCGCACCCCATGGTCAGTATGTTCCTGTTACCACACTAGTTTTGCTATATAACATTCGCTCAATTCCTTCGCTCATTATACTCTTGCTTCGATAGTGCAATCTTCGTTCGCTCACTCAATTGCACTCGTAACACATGGTATTCAGAGCTACGACCCTTTTTCGCACCTTCTCTTCCCACATTATCTCAAATTTTGGAGGGGGTAGACGTCCCTGAGCGACCAAGCACTGCTGCTCGTGTGCTCTCTTGTAAGCACACTCAGCTGTCAGACTTATATGCTATAGTCTGTGTAGGCTGTAGTGGGGTAGACTATATGGGGTACAACACTATTAGGTTTTTCCCACTTGTACCCACCTGTTTCCTAGTGCATTCATTCCTTGTTCTTTCACATGGTATCAGAGCCGACAGCTACCTCGACAGGCTCGACCGGGTCTACCTGGGAAACACCTGAGGGAGCAGGGACCTGGGGAGGCAAGGGGTCTACCAAGGCAGCACCTGGCGTGAGGAAGAGCGGCGGAGGGGGGAGCGGGGCAGTGCGGTAGGGGAAGAGCCGGTAGAAGGGCACCGACTCGTCAAAGGTGACGTCCTGGGACGACAGAACACGGCGCGAGGTGGGGTGGTAAAACTGCCAACCAGGCGCGTCAGGGGGGAAGCCAAGGAAGACGCAGGGAACAGCACGGGGGGCAGCTTGTCCGCAGACAAGTCGCGGACAAAAGCCCGAGATCCCCAGACACGAAACGCAGACGCATCGCCAACCTTCCCCGTCCACCTCAGAGTAGGGGAGGTCTCCGGCAAGGAGACCCGGGGCTGAAGGTTGATCTGATGCGCCGCGTACTGAACCGCGAACGGCCACAGAAAATGGGGAGCAGCCGCATGGATCATGGACGTGCGAGCGACGTCCATGACCATGCCAATGCGGCGCTCAGCAATCCCATTTTGCTGTGGAGAGGCCGGAAGCGTGAACGTCTAGCGGATGCCCTGTGCACGACAGAAGGCTCGCAGAAGGTCAGAGGAAAACTCACCGCCTCTGTCGGAGTGCAGACGCAAGACAGGAAAGTCCGAGCCGAAACTCTCTCTGAGCTGGAGACGAGCTGCGCGGATCCAGTCGATCAACACCTCAGTGACATCACCCTTGCTGCGCAAGGGGAAGACTGCGGTGAAACGCGAGTAGTCGTCAACCACCAACAGGAAGTAACGCTCGTGACCCTGTCCACGGACGCGGGCTGGGCCCCACACGTCCATGTGAAGCGTCTGCAGCGGAGCCTCTGTCGAAGGAAACTCGGAGGAGTGAGGAGCGGCGCGCTGCCGCCCCTCGACGCAGGGAACGCAGGTGGGGCCAGGCCCCGGAGGAAGAGAAGGGAGGGACCGGGGGAGACCCGAGACAAGGAAACGAGAGGTCATTCCTCGGAGACGAGGCAGGGAGGGGTGACCAAGGCGGTGGTGCCAGAGGAGAGTCCGGTGAGACAGGAGACGACACGAGCAGGGGGCAGACTCAGGACCAGACCTGGACGCTGCAGCAAAGACCTGACTCGACGCAGCTACCTGAGGAGACTCAGCAGTCAGTGTGTACAGGCTCGACCCCGGCTGACGGGTAAACGTGGCCAAGTGTCGGCCCGTCCTAGCACACGTACAGTGGGTCACTCGCTGACGCGCAGGGGTGAATTGGTCAACCCCTGCGTCCTGTAGGTCAGCACCACTCACCAAGTTCGTAGAGAACGAGGGGAGGTAAAGACCCGACAGAGAGCCAGAAGGGGCCGCCGGACACGGTAAGACAGTGGAGAAGTGGGCAAGGACGGGACCCCCAGAGGGGTCTGCCAGGGAGACTGCAACCGGCCGACTAAGCAGCGTGAGTGTGGTGCGGTCTCGAAAGAAGGAGCGGGAAGCACCCGAGTCAAGGGTGAAGGTGCGTAACACCTGAGACGACGTGGTACCTGAGAGAGCAGACTCACCAGTACCTGGGGCAGCAGACTCACCAGCACCTGGGGCAGCAGACTCACCAGCACCTGGAGGAGCAGACGCACTAGCACCTAGAGCAGCAGCCTCACCAGCACCTAGAGCAGCAGCCTCAATGCCCGGGTCAGGCGGAACACACAGGTAACAGTCACCCACATCACTAGTAGGCAATGCATACATGGCAGTGAGGATAGCATCATAGTCAAGAGCATAGATATCTACCCTCTGCTTAAGCAGCTCCACCCAGTCGGGGAGCTCAGCGGCGTCGCCAAACTCCGTACGCGAGACGTCGCTCAGACGGGCGAAGCAGCGGGACTCGGCGTGACCAAGCGTCCCGCAGGGCTGACCAGTCCGAGAACCAGTGCGAATGACGTACGGACAGCGGGCAGAACTCCGTGACCCTCCACGCTGAGCGTACCACTCACGAAGCTGCTGGGGCGAAAGGACCGCGGGCGGACTACGATGCAGCTGCACCTGGCCACTACAAGTAGCTCCCGAACTCCTCACGCCAGAACGACTCCCACTACGGCCACCCCGACAACCCCAAGTAGCGTACTACTCACGAAGCTGCTGGGGCGTGAGGGACTCACGCGGACGTTGCTGGAGCTGCATCTGGCCACCGCCAGGAGCAGGAGGAGCAGTGGTAGCCACAGTAGCAGCAGTAGAAGCAGTAGCAGTAGTCGTAGCGCGGCCACCCCTACAACCCCAACTAGCGTACCACTCACGAAGCTGTTGGGGGGCGAGGGACTCACGCGAACGGCGCTGGAGCTGCATCTGGCCACGGCAGAAGCAGCAGTAGCAGTAGAAAGAGCAGTAGCAGCAAGAGCAGCAGTAACAGCAGTACGGGCAGGGCAGTGCTCACCAGTGGCGAGAAGGGCAGACGTACGACGGCGGCAACGGCGAGGCCGCTACCACTGCAGGGCGAGGGCTCCGCGGCTGCTGCAGGGGCGGCTGCTCCAGGGGCGGCTGCTGCAGTGGCGGCTGCTCCAGGGGCGGCTGCTGCAGTGGTGGCTGCTCCAGGGGCGGCTGCTGCAGGGGCGGCTGTTCCAGGGGCGGCTGCTGCAGTGGCGGCTGCTCCAGGGGCGGCTGCTGCAGTGGCGGCTGCTCCAGGGGCGGCTGCTGCAGTGGCAGCTGCTCCAGGGGCGGCTGCTGCGGGGGCGGCTGCTCCAGGGGCGGCTGCTGCAGTGGCGGCTGCTCCAGGGGCGGCTGCTGCAGTGGCGGCTGCTCCAGGGGCGGCTGCTGCAGTGGCGGCTGCTCCAGGGGCGGCTACTGCAGGGGCGGCTGCTCCAGGTGCGGCTGCTGCAGTGGCGGCTGCTCCAGGGGCGGCTGCTGCAGTGGCGGCTGCGTCAGGGGCGGCTGCTGCAGTGGCGGCTGCTCCAGGGGCGGCTGCTGCATTGGCGGCTGCTCCAGGGGGCGGCTGCTGCAGGGCGCGGGGTAGCGGCAGGGAGTTGACTACTTTCAGACCTTCTCTCCCACCCCGAAGATGACCACTCTTCGGGTGATGCTGCACGTAGCCGCTCAGCGCGACTACGAGTTTCACTCTCTTGACTTCAGCACAGCTTTCTTGCAGGGCAGCCTGCACGAGGAGATCTGGCTGCGCCGCCCACCTGGCTTCACTGGGTCGTTCCCCCTTGGTACCCAGTGGAGCCTCCGGCGGCCAGTCTACGGTCTCCGCCAGGCGCCCCGTGAGTGGCACGACACACTGAGGACTACACTTGCGGCTCTTGGGTTTGCTCCTTCTACTGTGTTCTATATATACCTGCACTTGCTTGTTTACCTTTATATATATGATCCTGCATGTGAACTGGCCTTGTGGCCTTGAACCTATGCTCGGAATGTGTGGTGACGTTGTGATCCACCCTGAGCTTGCTTTGCTTTGCTTGACTGGTCTTGTGACCCCTTGTTCTCCCCCACTTTGCCTATGGGGGTGTTTCAGACTTATATGCTATAGTCTGTGTAGGCTGTAGTGGGGTAGACTATATGGGGTACAACACTTTTAGGTTTTTCTCACTTGTACCCACCTGTTTCCTAGTGCATTCATTCCTTGTTCTTTCACATCAGCCACGACAGAGGCTCTCGCTGAGCTAGCCCGACACCCTCGCCATGGACAAATTCGGCTGCATTTAGTTCGCGACGTTGACATAAGAACGCCTCGACGAGTTAATGCGCCAACTCGAGAGGTCCTCGCTCGAAATCGCGACACTCACGGCGGAACGAGACTCCGCACGCCAGCAACCATCGGCGAATGCGCTAGCACCAACACCAACAAGTGCACGTGCACCGTCTTAGGAACCATTTATCATGTCATCCGGAACACCGTCGCAACATGATAGCGTGGGAGAGCGCTCTGGTGTAATCAGTAATGGCGCCGCCCAATCCAGGCAGGCAATAGAACAAGCTATGGAGATGCCGGGCACAAACACACCTCGCGAAGCGTACCGTCATGTCAGCATTGTGGCTCCTGTCGGCAACTATGACATTGGTGAGCCAATGCCGCTCAAACCGCAACATCCACCCTGTTTCAGTCCTAGCCAGCGTGGTGGTCCGACGGTTCAATCGTTGATCTTCATGATGAACATGTTTTTTTACGCGATTTACGTTACGTCGGATACAACGAAGATTCGGTACGCCGTAACCTTGCTGCGCGGGCCCGCCATGGACTGGTGGCGAGTTATCGTAACGTCGCCGAGCGCCTACAAGCCACTGTCGCAAGGGGAAAGGCCCTCGGGGCCAGCCGTAAGTTGAAGTTCGTTATGCGAAACCGCCCAATACAGCACGTGAGATGCGTGGTGCGCAGGGCTTCGGGCGCGCTTCGAGCTGATCGCAGCTTCGATTTCGGCATGCCAGAAGCTGCGTACTTGGCGACAGCTTGGGTCCATCCAAAACTACACCAGTGGGTTTCTTGTGCTGTGCGAAGAGGTCGGCTACATGCACGAAGTGGAGTGAGTGGATCGCTACGTCGGCAGCTTGAAGTCGGAAATTTCGCAGGAAATCCTACTTCGCGAAATTTCTAATTTCAACGAAATCCTGGCGCTTGCCGAGAACATTGATATTCTACGCCGTCCGAGGCCGGGGACCTACTACTACGAACATCGTACTCGGGGGCCGACCAAGCACGCCACTGTACACGCCGTTGCAATGAATGCAGCTGCCTCGCTGTTTAAGGGGAGCTGTTTTGCGTGCAACAGGCTGGGCCATTGTAAGAACAAATGCCCAAATGAGCTAAGGCGCCGTGGAGCAGAGCAGGGGCGGGAGTATGGAAGGCAGGGAAACGCCAGCAGACAGCAGAGTATGGCCCCACTACTGACGAGACACAGCTTGCCCGACCCCCTGACCCTCACCAAGTGACAGTACCGGTTCATGCAATCGATCGGGCTCGGCTGAATAAGGAGGGTACAGCGTTAGATTGCCCAATACAGATTTACGGGAAAAGATAGGGGACAGCATTGAAGATTTTTATTGATGGAGGAGCTAGCCAACGTTTAGTTAATACCGCAACTGCGAGGAAGCTGCAACCGACACTTAGTCGCTGCTTATCGGAGATCGACGCACGCTTAGTTGACGGCACGCTGCTGGCTTATAAGGGAGAAGATGGAGAGTGAAGGTTCGTTGCGGGGGGAACTTCGGCGACGCTGGATGGGCACGACATTTTACTGGGACGTGATTGGTTGCGAGGCTACAAACGGCTAATTGATTGGACCACATGTAGCTACACTGTGCGAATCGACGGTAACTGGGTCGCACTACCTTGCTGGCAGTCGCCTGAGTCCTCAACGGTCCACGTCAACGCCATCACGATGAAACGGGCCGTCGCTTCAGGAACTGACGAGTACACACGGAAGTGGGAGAAGTCGAGAAGCCGAGCGATTGTCGGACACCGCTGGTAGCCGTACTGCCAGAAATACAGGAGTTAGTGAAATGGTACCCCGTGATTTTTCCCGATGTCTTATCGGAGCGACTGCCACTTCAGCAAGCACACGGCCACCGCATAGAATTAGAGCTGGGGGCACAGCTGTGAGAGTACGACGGCTTTGCTGGACTTTACTTGCTTGATGATGCTTTATTATGCATTATCTAGCTTAGCTTTATATTATCTTGCATGATTTTGCTTGATTTCCTAGTTCCGTTGTTGAACTATAGTTGTTATAGTTCTAGGCACCAAAATAGGTTGATTGCACCGAATTCTAGGCTTTTCGGTTGCCACCGAATTGCCTTCTACCAAATTCTTGAAGGACCCGTTCCGGACGCTTCGCGGCCCGTAAAACCTAATGTGAGTCGAGCCTATATATAGCCTCGTCTTGTGTGATCTTATTATAATTTCTGAACCAGTTCCTTCGATCCTCATAACAGCCAACCGTACAGCGATAGTACCGAAAGACACAACCCGAGCTAGACGAATTGAGGAAGGAGCTCGATTACCTACTGGAAAAAATGTTCATCAGACCGAGATCATCGCCATTCGCTGCACCGATACTGTTCACACCAAAAAATGACGGAGGGTTTCGCAACAGTCAAGTCGCGACACCCCATCCACGCGCTGACGAACTGATCAATCAACTGCGAACGGCTAGGGAGTTTTGCGAAAATCGACTTTCGCGGCAGTTACAACCAGATTCGAGTGGAATCGACAGGCTACGCCAAGACAACTTTTAGAAGGTACGGATTCAGAGAGTATACAGTGATGCCATTCGGGCTGTCCAATGCACCCGCGACATTTCAAATGACGATGAACGAGGCGTTTCTGCTACTTTTAGATAAATGTGTCATAATTTACCTCGACGACATCTTAGTTTACAGCCGGGACAAGCACCAGCACTTAGCAGATCTAGAAGCAGTATTTAAAACTCTAGATAAGAATCGGCTACTGACAAAGGGTTCGAAGTGTTAGTATTTTCAGTACATGCTAGAATTTCTGGGACACGTTATTCGGAAGCTGGGGTTGAAATAGACCTGAAAAAGGCTGGATCCATAAAGGCATGGCACCCCCTGACAAACATCACGGAACTGCATAGTTTTGGGGGTTTGTTAACTATGTCCGTCAGTTCATCCCCGACATAACACAGTTAACTGCCCCACTAACGGACTTACTACGGAAGGGGGTTGGGTTTACGTGGCGGGGAAAAGAGCATGCTACCTTCCTTGCTTTGAAAAATGTTCTTTGTCCATGGCCCGTGCTACGCATCGCCGACCCACAAGGCCCAGCGACATCGCCATCGGAGCCGTACTGCTACAGAATTTTGGCAACGGCCTACAACCCATCGCATACGAGTCACGAAAGCTGCACCTGCCAAAAAATAAAAAAAAAAATCCCGATACACGACCGCGAAATGCTCGCGATCGTGCACGTTCAAGGTATGTCGCTGTTACTTGACCGGCGCAGACGCGATAGTACGGACAGACCACATATCCCTACACTATCTTCGCGCATAACCCAACCTCAGCCCACGACAGATCCGCTGGCTCGACTTCCTCGAGTCCAACTTTCACTATAGGTCACCTACAAAAAGGGTGCTTCCAACATCGCCAACGCACTAACCCACCCGACTGCCCAAATTCACGCGATACTACTCGCCCAAACCAGCCCGATCCTCACAGGCCTATTCACCCACGGTTACCAGACAAACCCGTTCTTCACAGGGGGAAACTCGCAACAGCTTGCAGCGGCACTAGGGGTGTATTACGTAAAAGCCGGCACCGATCGCATCTGGGTACCGGCCTACACCTTGCTGAGGGAATTACTGTTATAGGAGGCACACAACGGGGTTACCTCAGGA